GGGGGGGGGGGGTTATTTGTCATATTTGAGCAGAATCTGTAAAAAAAATGTTGAGATAATGAATAAAGTTATGGAAGGTTGTGAAATTGAATGTTTTATTGGTTTACCTCTAGGGGGCAGTGTACCTTAAGGCATGACAAAAACATTGTAATAATTGTCTATCCTCTGAGTTAAAGGGGCCCTATTATGCTTCTTGGGGATTTCCCTTTCCTGTAGTGTGTTATATGCGTTTTTGTGCATGTAAATGGTCTGCAAAGGCTAAAATCCCAATGTGCCCTCCAGAAGGAAGTTATTTCCCACACTGCTTTAATATATGTTGGCATCTTGGGTGTTTTGTGTTTCTTTTTAACTCATTTCAGTATGAAAAGTAAGTTGAAAAATATAATAGATTATGTTCAGGACGCCCTGAAGGGAAAGGTGGAAATCAATTATTTGTGGGAGCAATGTTGGACAAAATCTAAATGAATCTCGTATTAGGTACAAGATGGTATCTTATTTGTACCGACAAGATTAACCTTCACATAATGTCCTAAACTAAATTAATGAAAGTCTTTTTGGGGCAAAAACACACAATATGGCATTTCCATTATTAAAAATGTGCTCCTTCTTTGTGTACATGCTGAGCCAACATTTGATTAAAATAATTATATATATATATTAAGGAAAATATAAAATAAATGAACATCATACATTTTACACACGTAACATGTTGACATTAGGGGTTACACGGGTACAAAAAAGGTTTACATTTTTTTTAGAAAGACGAAGAAAAAAACGTAAGTTAATATTTCAAATTCAAATGTGGTTTTGGTTGCATTCTTATTTCTTCTGAACCACCATTAAAGCACACCTGAGCATAGGTGAAAGTGACGTCACTCCAGCTTCTCTCTGATTGGAGGAAGCCGATTAAACTGACATTCAGTACGGTTATGCATTTAATGTTGCTTATGAGATTCCATGAGTTCAAACTAATTTTACTTGGGCGACTAAACGTACAATATCGGGATAACAGGACACATAACGCTCATATTGAGGTGGGGTGCTCCCGGGGCTGTGTGGGGGGTGCACTGCAGATAAGAAGGAGAAAACAACTCGCGACGCCTGCGAACGAACTCCAACAGACGGGTGAAGCTGAGACGACCTTCGCGAAATACACAACAAATAAATATGGGACACAAAGGCGGGAACTAAGAGAGACGACAGTAATGGCTTCTGATTCTTCATCAGGTCCAACACCTTTGAATGAACTGTGCAGTATTACTATATTTGTGAGCTTCGTTTTATTGTCAATACGTCAACCCCTGCACTGATAATGTTAATGTTTCAAATAGCCTTTATATACACTTAGTTGTACTTCCTCTGATGCATTGACTGCAGAGGTGGAGGAAGTATCATGTACTTGAGTAAAAGTAGAAGTACCAGAGTGTAGGAATACTCTGTTACAAGTAAAAGTCCTGCATTCAAAAGTGCTAGCCAAGTATTAGCATCAAAATATACTTAAAGTACCAAAAGTAAAAGTAGCCTACTAATAATGCAAATTGGCCCATTTCAGAATAATATATATGTTCTGATTATAATGATTGATCATTAAAGTGTTATCAAAGCTGGTAAAAGTGCAGGTAGTTTTAATGACTATACTGCAGGCAGTGGCGGCTGGTGTAAAATATTTTTGGTGGGGCTGTTGATATAGTGAGTAAACATTTTTTTTTGGGGAGAAATTACCCCTTAAATTGGGACTTCTGGTGATGTAATGGCCCCATAAAATCGTGGTTCTAGGGCCAGGAACAACCAGGCTGAGTCGGGCTGAGTATGCTAAACTAACTGCGGTCAAGCCAGCCTCCACTCGGGAAAACCTAGTCAAGCCAGCCCTCACGTGAGATTGCGGTGCGCGAATATCCTATGCATTACGGTAGAGTAAAAAAAAATCATCCCTCTGTGTTTAGATGAGAATAAAACAAAAACTGTCCAGTATCAAAGACTCATTTCACTTCAGGGTGATAGCAGGACATCCCATCTAGTCACTCAGAAAAAATCAGGACCTTCTGATGTAGAGTTTCAAAATAAAAGACCTTTGAAATCTCTATTGTATGAGCTATCATCCCTGTTTTTAGATGAGAATAAAACAAAAACTGTCCAGTATCATAGATCCATCTCACTCCAGGGTGATAGCAGGACACCCCATCAAGTCACTCAGAAAAAATCAGGACATTCTGATGAAGAGTTTCAAAATAAAAGACCTTTGAAGTCTCATATGAGCTATCATCCCTGTTTTTGGATGAGAATAAAACAAAGACTGTCCAGTATCATAGATCCATCTCTCATGCCTTACCGTCATTATTCGTCCCGTGGCGCCCTCCCCTTCGATGTTTTTTTAGTATCATTTGCGTTTCCCGTCAATTGTAAGTTGACCTAATG